CGGTTGAAAGAGCAGAAATAAAAAGGAAAGAACATTGTGAAAATGGGGCCTGCTTCACATAAGAGGAATACATCCGAAAGACCGGGCGACACTTTCAAGATGCAATTGTTCGAAAAATCATTGAATGCTATTATTTCCCGACTTGTTTTTTTAAAATCACAAATGTCTTCCTTGAGATGTGGCCAATTTGAAGGTAGCATTGAACATGAGGAAACAGATGCTCTGCTAGTATGTGTGTGTGCTTGACGTTCAGAGTGTATATGTTGGCATTCGAAGCTCCGATATGAACACAGCAGGCCCCGGTGAGTCGGGGGCAGCTGTAGATAGCTCAGGGACAGGGGACAATCGCTATCGAACGGCAGGGGAAGAGCAACAGGATCCCTGGCATTGGGGGGGGGGGGGGGGGGGACGGACGGACGGACATGTACTGCATCTGGGTTCAAGGAAGCAGCAATTAGATGCTATGGATTTATTAGGCAACGATCACAGAGGATGCTGAACCGTCGCCAGGCTCCCTTCAGGCAGATCAGCCTAATCACTGCAGTCCATCGGAGCCAGAGGATCTATGGGAAGCCTGTTTCACATGAGCTCCAGTCGCTGCACTGCCAAAGGGACAATGGCTACCCACCAGGGGGGGAGGGGGGGATTTCTCCCCACCAACTGTTTGGTTGGGTGTGTTAGAGCCCTGCGTGTGCACCTGTGTGTGCAGGGCCATTGGCTTTCATTGCAACCGGTCCAGTAATAAGCTGGAAAGGTTTCAATCGGTGCTGGCTTACGATGCAGCCAGCCAGCCAGCGTGGAAGAGATGTAGCTGTGGTCTTGTTCTGTACCCGGCCTCGCTGCCAGAGAGCTGGGAAGGTGGTTGGTTGGTTTGCAGCCAGATGGCCACAGACTGGGAGAGAGACGGAGCCCGAGACAGGCCACAGAGAAGAAAGCAGGCAGAAGACACAGAGGCTCATTAGAAATGTCACAGACTCTTTAGATGGGCTTTGGCTGCGCGGCCAGACTCCTGCACTGGATCCTCATTAAAGGAAGACTGAACATGCTGTTCGCTCGCTCCGAGGCCACGCTGCACAGGACTCGGGCGACAGGAACCCTCAGTGCTGAGCTGCAACACGACTGCAGGCGACAATGGGCTATAAATGGGTACAAGGGCCTGTTAAGATGTTTCCTTTAGTGTGTGTGTGTGTGTGTGTGTGTGTGTGTGTGTGTGTGTGTGTGTGTGCATGCGCAGCTAGAAGGGCCCAGTTTGTTCCTGAATTTTAAAATCAAACAATACAAAACAACAAATAATAACTTAAGGAAAACAAAAGTAAAGAGGGATGTTAAGTCTCTGGGTTTTTCCGAAACTACGAGACGAGCATCTCTTCTAGCAGCAAGCCGCGGCCGCCTCGAGTCCGACGACGAGGCGGAGTCGACAAATGTGAAATCTTTTCATTTTGAGGGGCGGGGTGAAGTCAGCACCCGCTCTGTCCCTCCCTCCCTCCTGCTCCAGTTTCTGTCTTTTAGTCCACAGGGACCCATAGTTCCTGTAGGAGGAGAGGGAGGGGAAGCCCGCTGAGGCTCCGGTCCGCCAAACCACTCGGCCCCTCACCAAAATGTCCTGCGTCCCACCATGCACCTCTGAGTCTCTAAAGAGGGAGCCGAAGCGGGGTCTGATGGGAGAGCTGTGGGTGGTGGGGGGGTAGAGGAGTGACAGCGGGGTCAGATGCAGGTGGAGGGCTGGGCGGTGGGCTGCTGCTTGCGGTTCCTCAGACCTCCAGACTTCTCCTTGAAGCCCACACACATCTGCTGAGAGACGTCCACCAGCGCACTCGCCACCGCCAGACCTGCACAGAAACATCACAATACGAGTGTTAGGAAAACATCACTCGTCACCGGCTCGAGCTTCAATATCAGGATACATGTATTTATTATCCCTGCAAGAATGGAAGTAGTCATCACACACAGAGCTGCGTGGGACAACTAGTTCCTGAACAGTGTTTTTGACATGCCTTATATACAAGACAGGGTGTTAGTCACAAGATTCAGAAAACCGGTTCAAAGCAGTATTCTGGCCTTAGTTCAGATTAGCTAAGGCCTGCGTCAGAAATAAACATGACAGTCATACGCCTATCTCCATAGAAGCTGAATCATCATGTTAATCACATATATGCCTAAAACAGTGTGTCCTGACGATCTTCCAGCTAATCATACATCCTGTTACGTACACAGCTTCGTAGGGCCTTTATCATCTGCTACTCTGATATTAGAAGAGTACATTCAGTATTTTCCCAACATGCAACACATTTTTAACTCTGTGATCAAACCGAGCTGCGTGTCACTGTGGGGGTGTCACTGTTTCAAAACTTTTTTTTTTTTCCCAATGAATGGCTCATAGATAACAAGCTTTTTAATTAATGTGGGTGAAACCGAATCAATCCTGTTAGGGAGTTCAGTGAAAGTCTGAAATCTCAAGTGACTCAAATGTAGGATTAATATTGGAAGAGTCACACTCCGGTGAATATATTGCTGGTAAAATGTTATCTAAGGGTGCCATGAAAATGAAGTTCCTCTTTGACTTTTCTGTCAAACTTCCCTGGTACACACTGACTGGTCCATTGTCTTTCCCATTATGCGTGTTCTGTTTGGTACAGGGGTTTGCCAGTTAAACAAGCTGCAAGGGATGCAATAATATCACTCATTATCTAATACACACAACCATTTGAACTGCTGTTAGTAATGATGAATTATTAAAAAATATCAATATTGGTAGAACAATTACAAATTAAATTCATATTTCTTTTTTCAATATAGGTTAACTTAAAGGTGGGGTAGGTAAGTTTGAGAAACCGGCTCGAGATACACTTTTTGTTATATTCCATGGAATGCTCTTAACATCCCGATAGTTAGGCCAATGAATATCTGAAGCTGCTTGTTGAACAATAACAATAGCATCAAAAAACTGTCATCTGTTGTTACTGTAAAAGCACGACCAATACATCTGAGCCGGCCCGGCAAAACTAAGCTGGATGGCCCTACCTGCCTGTCAGCCTTCCATCTGTGCACCAAACTCTTATCTCGTGCCCTCACTGGTCGATGTGCGCGTTTGGGTGTGCTGTTGGAGGAGGGGCTCTGTAAGGAATAGCAGGTTTTCTCCGGTTGTGCTATTTCAATTCTAACGCAGTCAAGCTGGTTTTCTCCAAAATTCTAGCGTACCCCACCTTTAACACTTGGACATAATGGCACGCTGAAACGGTGTATTTATTTTGAGAATATGTATGAATTATTGACTTTTAGCAATCCCTTAAATTGTGCTTTATGTTTCCTTCTTATGAACTTCAAATTGCTGTTTTTGTTTGGTGTTTAAAATCATACTGTAATAAGATTATACAGCACTCTGCCTAGTCTACAGTAATAACACTTCCCCTACAAGGTAACAGTAGACACAAATTACAAAAGTTAAATTGTAGCATGCAATACTCTGTCCACTTTTCCAATACACACACTGATATTACCTTTTTCGAATCAAGTGCGTAGTGGAAGAATTGGGGACACACACCACAACCTCTCATTAGCCCACATACAAAGCTGGTGAGATCAGTATACTGGCGAGTGGGAGGCAATCAGTGTACTTTTACAGCACACTTCCATGTGAGGCATCGTATTAGATAACCTCTGGCTGAGCCATGGAAATTCCAATAAACCTCTATTTATCTCGCAATAATGGATGCATTTCCCGCCGATCAACAACACATGGGCCGAACACGACGAGAACTATATCAATCCCCAGGGGGGAGTTCGCCTTTTCCGCCTGAAATCACACGGTCAGTAGTCTTCAGTGAAACAGTTCAATGATTATTTTGTTCTACATCTGAAAGCTAGACGGGTCTTCAAAGCAGCTTAAATGACGCTCCGATGCCAGATCAGAGATGAATTTCAGTCAGCGCTGACCTCCTCTTGGCTGTTTGGAGCTAGAGTCAGGAACGGCCATTTTGGATATGTCAACGTAATACGCAGGATTCTGTGAGGTTGATGACAGCACGAGGACTTCAAGAGAGGACACGCCAGAGGGGGAAACAATGTCGTAAAAGCATTGATAAAGGGAGGTGGTAGGGAACACGCACTAACATGGGGTCTCGACAAAAAGATGCCGGAGGAAAGCTCCGCCAGAGACGAGGATTTGTTTTTACAAAAGGTGGTAATTAATAAGAGCGGATCCGGGGCA